TGATCAGACATACATATAAACTAGTGCGGCCTACTTTTAACAGAGAGGTCATTACCAGATCACAACTTAGTTAGGTCTCTTACCTTTAGAGTTTAAAAGTGCCTTCATCCTATCAAGCTCATTCTAAGGAGGGAAGCAGACACACAACGAGAAGAAACAATACGACAAATCAAATCCAGGTGAGTGTAATGACAACAAGACTATCTGTCTGAGTGTAACAGTTTACATTTTCAAGTAATTCTCAAACAATTTCTCTGTAAGAAAAACTCAAAGCCAACACTGATATATTGTTTAGACACTCCAAGTTTGGTACCTGCAAGCTTTCAGGGTCCGCTGAGGCCTCCTCCTCTCCACCAATATCAAAGAACAGCTTGCTGATAATGTGTCTGGTGCTGACCTACACAAAAAAAGCACACCATTATCTAAGTTGACTTTTACCTTCTGTTTGGCAAGTTGGTACAGTTTGGGCTAGCACGAGTTTGGTGGTGTTTGAAAGTGGAGGTACCTGTTTTCTACATTGTGGACAGGTTTTTGTCGGGGCTGTCTGAAACCACTGGAGAAGACTGAGAAGGGTAAAGGAAACACTTATTAGCCCTGTGTAACATGACAGAAATGCTATATAAGAATTGACTTTCTATACCATGCTAGTGTTAACGTTACCATTCATAGTGGAAAGTATGTCCGCAGTGGATGGCAGCAACATCTCTGGAGTGATCGAAAAAATCGGAGCAAATCGTGCAATATGCTCGGATAGGCATCTTACTGTCACAACAATCCCCTGTTTATGGATAGTATAAAAAACCGTATTAAATACTATAGCTTAGCTAAAGCTGTAACATTAATTTTAGCAAACACGTTACTTCTCTGCATTCATAATGCTAACATACAGCTACGCTAAGGCTAGTTAGCTTTGGTAAACGTTAGCTGTCTTGTCAACTGTCGCCACAACGTTACTTACAAAGCGAAGACGTTACGTTACTGCGCAGTGCTTCGTAATGAGATCAAACATCCGTAACCTTGTGTAGAATACGACATTTTAACCGAGTTAAACTGTCTCTACACGAGTTAATCTCATTCTATCTGACAGAATACGTCATTAGCTAACACAAACACAATGGTTGCTCCATTACTGCGCTGCTTCCCCGCTGTACGTTCAAACGTAAGTCCAGCCCATTACGCTGCATTCAGGCACACCTCGTATAAGTGGCTACAATTCTTCCTAAATGTCAATTTAGTTATTTAAAACTACACCCATTTTTCTTGTGTTTAAAAAAAATATACTCGACGGTTATTTCATCAGAGAAGCTAAAATGTAATATGGCACTATCAAGTGATCACCGCTCATTTGCTAGAAATGTATTTGTGTTTCCATCCCTATATCTCACACATGCACACTCACTCACACGCACTTAAACTGTGAAGGGATATAGGGATATACTCACTTTGACTGATAATTATAATTATTATTACTCCAAGGAAATATTTTCTTAATTAATTAAGTTAATATTTTTAAGTAATTACTACATGACATCTATTGTTTTACATCAGATAATAGAATGTGTTGCATTTCCCAGCACCGCTTTTCCTACCCACTTTAGATTAAACCACGCCCACATCCGTATGACCAAAACCTTTCGGTTACCACTTTTTATACACAGTCTATGGTTACCACCACGCCGTTC